GTTGCATCGCTCTTTGAGCAATAAGTTTTGTAAGTAAATAACTGTCAACCATCAACCATCACAAATTATGCAAATAATATGCAAAGATTAATCAAACTAGTATGGTAGTATAAATTTCAATAAGAACTCACACAAAATAGCTTACCTGCTAGCCCACCAGTGGCAGCTGATATTCCAAAATACCCATTAGCAGGTAGAATGACATTTTCTGCTCTCATGCATAGCTCATAATTCATATCACTTTCAGTCATACCATTGTTAAACCATAACTACAAACAAAATACCAATGTCATGATGGTTCTTTGACAATTGATCAAACAAATTATAGTGAAACTGGTCTAAACCCAAATCCTGTGAAAACCCTAAAGTTTTTCAGTCTAAAATCCATTTGGTTTATTAATTCACTGTATTCTGTTACTTTGCTTTATGTTCGGTTTTAATTTTGCTATTTTCACCGATAAGTAAAATTCAATAAATGGAATACACATGCAAAATAACATTAAAACCTAGTTAACTTGTTCAAAACATCAAAATAGTGAAATAAATGATTTTACAGTAACATTAAAGAAAAAAATACAGACTTACAGTTAGTGTATTTTTATAGTATTCAACTTTGGCTCTGACTGGGTATGGTTTATTTCTGAAATCTCGCAAACATCCACCAAGTTGTTGTGTCTGGCCATCAGAGTTATGGTCATAGTTTTTGGAGCCATCATTAAGCATTGTTAAGATAAAAGGATTATTTCTCTGATTGTCATTATCAAAGGAATCAAAGAAGACACCAAGACCATTCCATCTATCAGTACTACCATATACAGGACCTTCTCTGCCTTTATCTGTTCTATACCAAAATGCCTACAGAAAGAAAGACGGTATAACAAATTTATAATGAAAGAATCTAAATATATCACCATAGAGGGTGCTATACCATTGTTAGAAGAAGAAGGGAAATGTAAACTTACCAGTCCATCAGCGCCAACTCTACCCCTTCCGGACACTCTAAATATAAGCTCTACTTCCCAATGTGGAAAAGGAACTACATTTTTAGTCCATACGTAACCTGCAATTAAAAAATAGCACAATGTTTAAGATATGAAACCACCAAGCTATGACAGTCTTCATTCCATTCACCTAGAGACAGACACGTGTATGGACTACGGCAAATAATTGATAAGAAACTAAGAAAGATGTGATACAAAATATAACCTTGGCCAAAAAAAATTACTTCTACCAAGAAAATCAAAAGCAAATTCACACCCTAAAAACAAACATCTTTTAAAAGTGATTTAATTTGCAGAAGAGTTCAGACTTTAAATTTCTATACTCTTATTGATCCAAACATGCAGGCTTCTCGGCGCTTTACTTTGGACCTCGGCGCTATGTGTTCCGATCTCGGCGCTTGATTTCATATTTGACATGCCAATATCAGATGTAAAAAAGCTTTGTTCGCCAGGCTGGTCAGCCCCGACCGTCACTCAAAATTAGTGACCACAACCGAAACGCTACCGACCAGGACTATTGTCCGATTGTTATTATAATTATGTACTATGCATTTTTTCTGGGGAGAACCCTGACATGTAGATCACTTTTCATAACCAGTGTATCCATGTTTCCATAGTTTTTTTGTTTTTTTTCATTCACAGAGCTACATTGAACCTTGCTAAAGTACAATATATCAACCAAGTCGCATTATGGCTATTTACATGTACTTGGTAGTCTCCTTTCATCAATATGGTGGTGACATTTGCATAATCTATTGCCGCAAGTGAAATAAGCTTGTACATGCATTAACTGATTACATTTAAAAAAAATTTCATGATTTGAAAATCATGATGGCACGGCTTAGGATAATACATCCATATAATCCCCCTCAGAGTACTGTAATCAAATATTGCTACCGACAAGTACATACATGTATAAGATATTTTTGAGGTATTGGTGTGACAGTACAAATTATATGTTACGTATTCATGAACAGACATGACACAACTATTATAATAATAAGTCATACAAATCACTAATATTTGACAGCATCACATCATATATATTATTATATTTATTTAGTATATGGGAACTCATAGCCATTTCTTGGTATTACAACGGGGAATCTTGTTGGACATTGAACCAATGTATATGTTATTTCAATGTGGAAACCAGGCTTGTCTCCAGCAAAAGACAATCTACATAATCTATATAGACAACCTATATAGACCACTCCAAAAATGTATGTACATGTAATATTATTTTAATAGGGGGATATAATATCCGAGTGTGACACAGGAAGTTAAATATTATACACATTATTTTAGAAGAAGTATTAATTTAGACTGACTAACAATATTTTCAATAGGATTGATTACTCATACATGTTTATATGTTACATGTATACTCCATTGATATCCCGACCAAAATGGTCATTACTGCGACCACAATTCAAAAGAGAGGACTAAAAATGATTCTTGAGTCACCAAACAGGAAAAGTGAGAAAATAACTTGGTGAATGTTGAGTGTTTGTTTAAACATTTTTTTTTTCAAAATGTGTAGGTACATCTATTTCAACATTTGCATACAGTCTGAGTTACAGTCATTTGCATACAGTCTGAGTTACAGTCATTTGCATACAGTCTGAGTTACAGTCATTTGCATACAGTCTGAGTTACAGTCATTTGCATACAGTCTGAGTTACAGTCATTTGCATACAGTCTGAGTTACAGTCATTTGCATACAGTCTGAGTTAGTCATTTGCATACAGTCTGAGTTACAGTCATTTGCATATAGTCTGAGTTACAGTCATTTGCATACAGTCTGAGTTACAGTCATTTGCATACAGTCTGAGTTACAGTCATTTGCATACAGTCTGAGTTACAGCATTTGCATACAGTCTGAGTTATAGTCATTTTCATACAGTCTGAGTTATAGTCATTTTCATACAGTCTGAGTTATAGTCATTTTCATACAGTCTGAGTTATAGTCATTTGCATACAGTCTGAGTTATAGTCATTTGCATACAGTCTGAGTTATAGTCATTTGCATACAGTCTGAGTTATAGTCATTTGCATACCGCCTGAGAGAATCATTTGCATACAGCCTGAGAGAATCATTTGCATACAGCCTGAGTTAGTCATTTGCATACAGCCTGAGAGAGTCATTTGCATACAGCCCGAGAGAGTCATTTGCATACAGTCTGAGTTAGTCATTTGCCAATCTGATTAAAATCTGATGTAGTGTACGGGCTTTAATTATTTTGGCTATAAACTTATTTTAATTTTATTTTTATTACCTTTGTTATTAATGCCCTTTTATCTCATTATTTTACTTTGATTTTGATTTTGTGATTTTTTTTTAATTCCGCCCTACCTACATCTGATCCGACGCCTATGTAACGAGATTTCAACGAGACCCACTATCGACGATTTTAGTCAACGAATCACATACCTCCTTCTATAGCGTACATGATGACGTCACCGGGTGGCAAACACACTCAAATAAAATGGCGGATTATACCGACGTTAGCGACCGTGAATAACACGGCTTTTCGGTAAGTTTATCATTGTCAAATGCAACGAAAGTCATTTTTATGTTAATATTGTGACTCGAATGGTTCGACTTTAGATCGTTATTCCGCATAGTTATTCTGGGAGTGTTGATTTTGTTTCCACCGGTTCGACCGAACACCTAGTGTCTTTTTTCAGTCGCCTGCCCTGGAGACGGGTGATGTTTTGTTGACAATCGGGCCAAAATCGTCTACGGTATTGAAGCTGTAAATATTCATCAAATTGTATCAACATTTTGTACATTATACAATAACTCTTTATTAAAGTAATTGAGCTGATTTGGACTGGAATAAATTATTTTTTATTTGGAACACATCGCAATTGATCAGGAAATATTTGTTTGCTCCAATTTTCTGTGTCGATGCCGTGGGCCGTGGGCCGGTGACCGTTATACAATTTAAAATCAGTTTGCATTGTTTACTATAGCTGTTTACAGTGTTCTAATCATTACGATTTACTTATTTTTTTGCTTCCATTCTAGATAATTATTACCCCAGACCATTCGTCCCGGTGTTATCGCTATCGCCACACGAGACTCCAGCTTGTCTCCTATACAATTTTCCTTCCGCCCACTTAATTTTAATATTCATATGACCTTTGCACTGACATCGATAGCCAATCGCATTCGACCGCGGACGTCACTCTAAATAAACAACTGAATAAATTAATATACCATATTTGGAAGATAGCGGGTAAATTCAACGTTGTTGGTGTGTTCCTTCGGGTTCCGAAGTCGCACGAAACGAGTTCATGTTCCGTTATCTTTCGCAAGTAAAACAGGTCGATATGTATTAAACATGGCATTTGTTTTCTTGTTTTAACCCCCTTATTACGCAAGCTTCCGTCGAAGTGGTGTTTTTTTCGACGATTTGTGGCATGTTGCAAAACGAACGAAACATTGCG